AAAACGAGAACGAAACCACCGTCCTGCGAGGCGCTACGGCAACCGGCCAATCGCTGTTCGATGTCGAGACGCTCGTGGAAGCGAAGCAAGTGCTCGATCTGGCAGTCGCCCCGAGCGGTAAGTTGCTTGCCGTGCGTAGTCCCAACGGCATTCGTATCTACCCGATGCCGCAGAAAGGGGACAAGGAACTGGCCAAAGAGATCTGGAGTTCCGACTCTGGTCCTGTCTTGCAGATGGAATTCCGTTCGGATGATGTGATCTTGCTCGGCTATCATCCCGGCCAGGAAAATCCGCGGCTGTCGGTCGTGAATTTCAAAACTGGCCAAGTCGTGCACGACTTCCCCAAAGAAGCGGGTGGCCTGCGTTACTTGCACTTCACCGTTTCACCTGATCGTAATCATGTCGCACTCGCGTTCACCAATTACTCGGGCACCCAAAACGATGCCCCTCAGGCGATCTCCGGGCACTTGAGCTTGTACAACTTGGACCAACCTGGTCAGCCGATCGGTTCGGTGACTTGTTCCGGAGTTGCCGCGTACCCGGCGATCTCGGCCGACAACCAAGCGGTTTACTTCGTCCAGCAACACAGCCTGGGCGACCGCGACATTGGCCAGTGGAAAGTGGGCCAGAACAAGACCGAGATCTTGACGTTCTCGCGAAAAGGGATCGATACCGCTGGGACCGGATCTCGCGAAGTGTCCCAAGTCGATTTCATTCCTGGCAAGCCAAACGATATTCTCGTCAGCTTCAGCAATCGCGACATGGAAGAGTGGGACCTGGCCAAACAAAAAAGCCTGGCTCGCATGGCCCCTTCTCGGGCCGTCGTCTTCTGCGACTTCTACCAGAACGATCAACAAGTGGTCACCGCGCATGTCGATGGCCTGGTTCGCTTGTGGGATGCTGCCAGCGGTACGTTGCTGCATCAGTTCGATGCCGACTACTAGGCCGTTGAAGCAGCGGCGCTCTCCGGCGATTTGCTCGCTGTGGGGGGATCGGCCGGGAAGATCGATATCATCGACTTAGGTCAGAAGGTGGTCACGCGTTCGTTGCCGATCGATGGTGCGTCGATCGATGCGTTGGCCTGGGCCGCTCAAGACGACAAACCAATCTTGATGGTCGCGACCAGTCAGATAACGCCTGACGCCGACAACGGCGAGCATCGCGTCGGTCAGCTTCAATTGATCTCGGCGACCGATTGGACGCCGCTGGGGCAACCGTTTGATCAGCACCCTGGCCGATACCATAGCCTGACCGTTTCGCAAAAGGGAGATCGCTTCGCGGCGACAAGTTCCGATAAGGGCGTGCGATTATGGACCGATGCCCAAGTCACCGACTTGGCTGCTACCGAGCCGAAGATTCTCTCCGGCCACTCCACCGACGTGACAGGGGCCGCGTTCTCGGCCAATGGCGATCGTCTGGTGACCGGCAGCTTCGACGGTTCGTTGACAGTCTGGTTTGTCGATCGTCCTGTTCGTCCGGAAGCTGGCATGGAAGAAGGAGCCGCCCCAGAGCAGGGCGAATTGCACATCCAGCAGTTCGTTCCGCTGAAGGGGCATCGAAAAGAAATCTCGTCGATTGCCTTTTCGCCAGATAGTTCCATGCTGCTGACATCGTCGCTCGACCGTAGTGCCATTTTGTGGTTCACGACCGACCTGCCCGGAAACTTGGCCATCGATGCCGAGGGGGAATCGCCAACCAAGCCCGAGGTAGTGTCCAGCATGCAGCCAGAAGTGACGCGATAGCATTTTTCATCCACACATCATGATGTGTTAGGGCGAAATACTGCCAAT